AACTGTCTTCTGCAATTGCTTTTAATTTGATAAGAAAAAAATATAAAAATTAAAAATGCGCATATCAAAATATAAAACTTGCGAACAAATCTTCAAAAAATGTTTGACAAAAAAAATAAAAATAAAAATTTAAAGGCTCAACATGTTTGCTTCATGCCTAATCGTTACTTTTGCTTCACGATTTTGCAATCTTGGTTGAAGTTGTAGATCTATTTTCAAACAAATTAGAAAAATGCAATCATGTGGAAGGAATTCGCATTGGTAATGTAGCGCCCGACGATACCACACTCGCGTTCACCCTATGAAATTATACATAAGGTAGCCAGTCAAAAGTTGTCAAAACACCAAATACAAAAGTTACCCATGCTAATGATAGAGCCACCAGGGATAACTTAATTCAAATGTTTTTAAAATGAGATGTAGGTCTCGCAACGACTCGCATTATATTTGTTAATTAATTTTTTGTTTACAACCTTACACGACATAGAACAAATAATTTGAAAAAAACAGTTGTTAAAGTAATCTTTGTGAATCCAGTAGGTGATTTTAGACTGACTTTTGATATTGTTTTGCCATTTTTCATCCGATGGAATTTATGGATTGTTCTCACGGTCTATGCTCGAGAGGCGCAACTCATGCAACACTCCAAGTCCTTATAAAACCTCAGTATTTAGTTACTCGTTAGTGAGATCTTAGGGTAATCACAGATTTCAGCAAAACACAGTAGACCAAGGGTTTCAGTTTTTTCTTAACAAACTTTAAAAATTGAGGATAACAATCAATTCCCTATTCCCCGTCAAGTGAGTAGATCCTAAGAAAGCCCGAGGTCGCCTGTTCAAATTTGTCCTTGCACGGAGGAGAGCTTGGGCCTAAATGTACCAATCTATAACTATTGTTGTGCATTAAATGATCAGACCGCACCATTGATTTATATTGTGTGTTTCCATCTAGAGGGGGTTTACTCCTCATTTAGAGTATTTTTCAATGTGGCCACATTGCAACCGTGAGACGTTCTGATTGGATGGCAGAAACCCGTGCATGCCCCATATAAAGTTCACCCCCTCCCTAAATGGGACTTAGTCCCGTGCTTCAACAGGTGAAACTCTTGTCCATAGAACAGAGCAAATTCTAACCGGAAAAAAAAGGCTCAGTGAAAAAACCATTATGTCCATCCCCCCCCTCCCCCCCCTTCCTCCTTTGTTTTTCGTGTGTGGCATCCTTGTCCAGGGGCCATTATGATTTTCTCTGTATCATTCAATATCTCTTTAACGGATGTAGAAGAGGAAAAAAAAAAAAAAAAAAAAACACGAAAGTAAAACTTAGTTCCCAACTTCAGCAGACGCAGCTCCCATCCATAGAACGGAGCAAACTCTGATTGGGAGAAAAAATGGTTATGTGACAGTAACCTTTATGTTTCCTCAACCCCCCGCTTTGACTTATGTGTGACATCCTTGTGCAGGGACAATTCTGATCTTCCCTGCCAGTGTATCATTCCAATCTTTTTTACGGATGTCAAGAAGACAAAAAAAAAAAAAAAAAGTAACTACAAGTACAGGAGGACAAAAAAACCTTAAAGAAAAGTGGAAACCAGGAAATTAACAGGAGCATGTTTTTTCATTTTCTTTTCTTCTCTCTTCTTTTTTTAAGCGGAGTTTAACACTTTTTTTTTGCTTGTTAGGATCTGCCAAACACGGACTGAGACACAACTGATTATGAGTTTTGCCAATATAATATATGCCTTGCTGAGTTCCCTGCTCGTTGCTAAGTTTTCTAAGTCTGAGTGTGTGCGTGCTTGTTGTTTTACATGCCCGTCTGAATGCTTGTAAGTTTGAATGTGTGTGTGACCCGTAAGGGCACTTGTCCGTGTCGAAGGTCTGTGGCCGTGGCATTGAGGGTTGCAGCGAGGAGAACACTCAAGTGGCAGGGAACGAGGCCCACAACACTTGGAGCAGCGAAAAAACACTCAAGTTGCAGGTAGGCCGGTACCACACCAGGAAGAGGTAGATGTGTCGGGTACTTGAGGCTGAGCAAAAGAAGACAAAGTTGACGTTTTTAGAGGCCAGTAGTTGTAGGCTAGGTCTAGGCAGGTACCAGTCCAACCAGTCTGAGTCTAGGGCCTATACAAGCAATATCCAAGTCTGTAATGATGTTTCCCTCAGAAAGGGAGGAGGTACCGGTTGCTTGGAGGCCACGTGGCCTAGGAAGTCACTCGGCAAGAGGCAAGCAGACCGCTATCTCCAAGAGGAGCGAAGTGCTCCTCCTCATTGTCTTTGTGCAATTTCCGTGACACAATGGTTCGAGCGCAGGTTGGGGCAAGACTAACATAGAGCAGCGCTACCATAGAGCAGTGCTGCTGGGGAAGGAGCAAGGAAAGGAGGAGGAGGAAGACAAGGACTAGTTATGTTTTATATGCGGAGCCTTGAGAGGAGTCTGGGAAGGTTGACTTTCACTACCACTTAGAGCATTGGGTTGAGATAAAACAGTAGCGTGCTCAAGGGACAACAAAGTTAATATTCTTCAAACTGTTCATCAACCACCGCTATCTCCGTGTCTTGATTGATTGTGGTGGCATAACTAATTATGTGTCAGCACAAGGGATATGCAAAGTGGGCTTGGGGATGAAGCAAGTGGTTTTGCAGAGCCTTTGGTCAAGTAGGCAACAAATAAATTATCACATCCACCATGCAGTCAACGGTGTGCGCACTACCTTTGACAAAGACAAGATTGTCACACACATGTTAAACTGACCCTTTTTCCGATCCCCCATCCCCGCCGGTCCTAACAAGCATCCAAAGCCTACTCAACTGATTTCCGAAAGTTCTGGCCGAGCCACATGGAGTCCCCACGCGGCCGGTCAAACACACGACTGAGTTTGTCGAAGGTTTTGTTCCTCCAAAGAACTATGCATACCGTATGGGATCCGACGAGTTGGAGGAACTCCGAAAATAGATCAATGAGATGATCGACAAGAGATGGATAAAGCCTAGTGAATCTGGATTTGATGCACGCGTCTTGTTTGTCCCAAAGAAAGGAGGTGAACTTCGTAGGTGTATTGATTACCATGGTCTAAACTGCATTACAAGGAAGAATGCGTACCCATTGTCATACATAGGTGATTTGCTTGATGCAGCAGATGGGTGCAAGGTCTTCTCCAAGATCGACCTCAAGTCTTAGTATCACAAGATTGAAGTCGAACATGTAGACCAGCATAAGACTACGTTCAAAACTCGTGATGAACTTTACAAATACTCTGTAATGCCCTTCGCTCTCACAAACGCACCGGGCACCTTTCAAAGTCTTATGCACAAAATCCTTCGCGACGAGATTGATAGATTTGTGGTTGTGCATCTTGATGACATTCTGATTTTCAGCAAGTCGAAGTGCGAACACATGCAACCTATGAAACACCCGCGGACGCGTCCGCGGGGCCGAGCTCGGAGGGCGGACGTATTCATGGCCGCCTCCGTGCCCTACCGGATCCGCGCCGCGGACCCGATTTTACCAGATTTTTCTTGAATTAAATAATAGCAAAAAAAAATAAAAAAAAATGGGGTTGTAGAGAATTTTAAGCCCTACAACCCCATATTTGTTTTTTTGGAATCCGACTTTGTTTAGGATTTTTTAAAAATCAAAAACTAAATTCTATTTAAAAAAAAATAAAAAAAAAATAAAAAAAAGTTGAATTTTTTTTTTGTCATTTTTTATCATCAGATATATGGTCCTTGAGTTCACCTGTATTTTTTAGAAATGATTTTCTGTTTTTTGCAGGGGTATGAGGTGTTTTAGAAAAATAAAGATGCAAAATTTGAAAATAAATAAACAAAAAACTTGAAAAAAAGGGTTTGATTGGTGTTCGGACAGGGCTTTTTTCGTAGGTTCTGGAGCGTAGCGGTCAGCTGACACTGTCCCATTGTGGTCTAGGGGTCTGTTCCCCCCTGTCTGCTTTGCGATTTGTCGTTGGTTTGATTTTTTGGCTTCGGATCTGATCGGCTTTTGTTGTGTTGTGCATTTTTCCTGGTTTCGTTTTGATATGGGTTACCTGACTGTACCACCTGTAGGCATGGGCGCGGCCGGCCTCTTGACGATGAATCGACTGTGGACCTTTGCCTATCAATTTTTGGTTTTCAGTAGGCCTGTACGAGGGCAATTTTTTGCTTGTCTGTGTATCTGGACTGATAGACGAGTAGGTACTTGTGGAAAGCTTCTAGGTAATACCTGCGAGCACTAGTACTATCCTAGGAAGGTCTATAGATAGGAACATTGCGACGCCTAAACTCTTTCCGGGTCCTACGCCGATGTGCTTGCGGTTATCCTCCGGAGATGCCGCTGGGCTTGCAGCGGAGGTGGGTTAGTGGTAAGAGGGACTGCGTACGAGGGTTGGCGATAGGTGGTTCTTCCCCCTGATGAGACCACGTGGCGATGGTTGAAACCCATACCCGCCGGACTTTGAGTTTGTGCTGCGCAATTATGCTTTTCACATTCTTTGACGATTGGTTGAAGTATCGTGAACCTTGTACGTGTGTGTTATGCTCACCACGTGCGTGTGATGTATGTCATCTTGGATGTATGTACGTCATCATCAAATCAGTAATCACCTACTGAAGGCGCATGTGAACCAACCCGGAAATGATGGCTGGGAGTGTGTGAGCATGTCTTATTGAGGCCGTGGAGTTCCATGTTCGTTTGTTTGTAGCTCGCTATACGGAAGGCTGCTGGTCTGCGATTGAGTCTTTGTTTTTGCTATACGGAAGGTTGCGGAACTACGGTTGGGACCTTTCGTCACTTGGTGGAGGGGCTGCGTGATGTGTGTGAGTGGATTTCGTTCTTGCGTGTGAGCTTTGGCCGGGCGAAGCACCGAGGCGAGCGCTGAGCAGAAAGAACATCTGGCCGGCGCCTCGAAGGGTACCATGGGGAGTACGGGAAGACGGGATTACGGTCGGGAGGATCGATACTCCGACCGAAGACGAGACGTTGGATATGACGGACGTCGGGATTCAGGACGCGAATACAGTCGTGAGCGGGTGTTTGAATACGGAAGCACTAGTAACCAGGAGAGGGGGCGTGACCCACCACCCCCCAGGCGCATTGCACCGGTATGCTTCGAATGTGGCGAGCCTGGGCATTACCGAAACCAGTGCCCGAACCTTGGCGGCGAAGGTTTTGGGCGGAGTACGACGCAACGGGGGAGATCCTTCTCACCAAAACGTCCTGGAGGTCCTCAAGAACCAAGATCGACTTCCGAAGACCCGACTCTGCGGCAACAAATCAAGGAACTAGTATCTATAATTAGTACCAGGAAGGAGCATATCGATGTTGAGAACAAGAAGAAAGAGGAGAAAGCCAAGCGGAAACAAGAGAAATTGGAACAGAAGCGACGGGAGGAAGCAGCCAGGCGCGAAGAATAACAGGCACGTGAAGCAGCTGAGCGGCGAAAGCAACGAAAGGAAGATAAGATGCGACAAGTGGCTAAGGATCGTGAGCAGATGAAGAAGGAGATGCGCATGGAGTTGTCCGTGCATATGGGCGGATTGCGGGAGCAGTTGCTTGGTCTACGAGATCGGGAGGGGTTACCGCATAGTGACGATGCGCGAGCTGCTAAAGGTAAACAGAAAGTGGAGGTATCATCCGACGAAGAGTCGTACGGCTCTTACGAGAGCGATGTCGACGCGCTTAGCAACCGTACGGAACAACTCATTATCTCTGAGAAGAGGAAACGAGGGGAAGACCTGCCGATTGGGGATACTCCACCTCTGCAGACCCTGGCAAGGAAGACAGCTAAGCGGCGGTTGCATCTGAGCGTGAGGCATCCACCGATGAAGAGATCCCCAGTGGGACGGACACCACGGCGATGTGCTACAACCAAGAAGAAGATCCCGGCACCACCGGGATCTAGCGGTAAGCTCAAATTCGTTACGGACAACCTGCTGGCTCTGGGAAAACTTAACATTGAGGAGCTCAAGCGGCTCTGTGCACAGGAAGGTGTGCAGCTGGGGACGGAATGCAGGAAGATGCCGATCCTCCTCGCGCTGGCGGACAAGCGCTCCCAAGTGGCGTACGGCGATGAGGGACGTCAAGTGGAACACGTGGAGCAAGTCGAAGAAGAAGTACAACAGGAGGCGGGCAGCGAGGAGAGCGACGATGCGTGAAGCATTCCCAAGCTTTGGACTCTTTGTTATCGTATCATTGAGTTTCAGAAAGGGAGTCCTTCCGATACGAACGTGGAGAGGATTTACTGTCTTGTAGTAATCCTGTTGGCGTTGGAAGGTGAAATCCATTGGCTGTGGAAATGTACGGAATCGTGGGTCGCACTGTACGTGAGGTATGGATCGTGTGTTTTTACATGTGAGGATAGTAGTTGTGTGTATATCCTCGCATCCCCGAAGTGTAAAGCACAGTACGTCGGTCAGACGAGTAGAGGAATGCGCGTTCGATGGGCGGAGCACGTGTCGGTTTATAAGCAAGGAAAGAAATCTAACCACGTCTATAGATGGTGGCGGACTTTCGGCATGGCAACTTACGTGATGTTACCAGTCGACCGATGTATGGCATCCGAGCTTGCGATGCTGGAACGCGTCTATATTCAATGGTGGTCTCCTAGCTTGAATACGGCGTTCATCCCGCGACCGAAGGGTGGAAAAAGTGATAGAAGGAAGGGGCACAAGGAACGGTGCCGAGTGCGGAGGGAGGAACCTCTAAAGCTACGAGCAGCCGTTACACCCGTTCGGGTGAGGGCCGAGACCGACGCCGAATACAACATGGATGTGTATCGTTTGCTATCTGATTTGGAGATGGCTGGTACCAGGAGTTTTACGCTGCAAACTGAGGGTGGTAATTCGTGGTGTGGAAGGTGGAAGTCCGTGCGGAACTCGTTTGGGGATTCCATTGTACGACGCGACGGAGTATGTTGTAAACTAAGGATGTGTAAAGCGTGGATTGAGCAAGGAGGGCCGGTGGTGTTTAGGCAGCTAGGAAGGTGGAGGCCTAAGAGCGGTCCGGACAAGAAATTCTTGCTGTCGATCCTACTCTTCCCAGCACATGTCGGTTTGTTGAAGAAGTGCTCTATGGAGGTGCTGATAAGACTCAACGGGGTTGCGACCGATTTTCAAAAACCAAGTACTACATCCTTTCTGCGTAGGATGATAGCGCGCGCTATGAAGGAGGTGCGCAAGGTTCTCAACGATAAGATTGAGGGTTTGGAGATCCCGGCTTGCATGAGAAACGTGGCACGTAATAACATTCGGATCGTGTGGGTCAAGAACCCCTTGATCACTTGTTTGTTGCACAATCAGCGTTCGTACGCGAAGGCTGAGGTGCTTACCTGTACATGTACAGGTCTTCCCTACCCCAGGGTAGGAGATCACGTGCGTTTTCGCTTGCAGGAGTTGGAGGATATCAATCCTTTAATCTGGAATGCGAATAATGTACCAAGGCAGTCACATCCAAACCGAGGGAGGTTGTTGAGCCAGGAGATGGTTGATGGGATACAGTCCTAGGCGAACTTCCGGGGAACGGCGCCAACCATCAGTGAGGATGACGTGACACGCTGCATGACGGCTCCAGCGGATTGCAGTACCCGTTTTATTGACGTCAACAAGATTAAAGAGCTCAAGGTTAGGCTGGACGGACTGCTCCTCACCCCCCTGGATCGTAACCCAGAGGAGACACTGGTGTTGTGTCCGAAGATATACTTCGACGCACTGATGGAGCTTTTTGTGTGTAGTCCGGGATATATCGTCGAACGTGCTACGAAAGAGGAGGTGAAGGACCGTATGCGAGTGGAAGCGAAGGAGAAAGGGATCTTGACGTTCGCACGTTGGGAGAAGAAAGGGAGTTTTGGCGAAGCTTACGTTATGCCGAAACACAAGGACCTGACACGGTTCCGTCCGATCTGTCCAATGTTCATGGAACCGACTGTTAGGACATGTAAGACTGTAGTGAAAGCTTTGAACCATATGCTGTTTACTCTCCCAAGCAGCTGGCATTTCAATCTCAGATCGGTGTCAGATTTGGTTCCGAGATTGGAAGGGTTGAACAAGAAGATCGGTAAGCGGATCGATGGTAGCATGCCACCAATCTCGATGCCATACGACATCAAGGATATGTTTTCCAAACTCCCGCATATCGATATCATCGAAGCCGTGGAGTGGATCTTCGATTATCACAACAGTAAAGGGAGAGACTTCATTCGTGTTAACACAAGGGGTAAGGGCAGCTCCTTTGGTCGGACGACAGGCGACGACCATTGGCGACAGCTTAGCCTGCATGATGTGAAGGCGTTCGTAAGTTTTGAATTGCGACACACGTACACGCGTGTCACGGGGGTGTTGCTCAGGCAGGTGGTGGGCATCCCCATGGGGAAGTGTACGAGCCCACCACTAGCGCGTATTATGTGTGCACTGACTGAGTTTCGATTTTTGCAGAGTTTGGGTAAATATGCAGAGCGACGTTTTTGGGCTGCGACTAATGGATGACATCAGTCTGATTGTGGTGCAACGACGACGTAGACTGCTGAGTACCGAGGAAATCAGGGATGCTTTTGAGAATTGTTATCCCAGGAACCTGCAGTTGAAGCGGACCGATGATGGTCGGGGTGAATGGGACTTTTTGGGTACTCGTATGGTAGCTGACGCTATCCAACCGTATGTCGGTTGCTACCAGATGACTAAGAACGAAAGGTCGATCTGGGAGGGCGATTTGTTGGAGTTCAAGAACTTGCAGTCATACCGTTCATGGGGAAGCAAGGTCCAAAAAAGTGTTGTGCTCTCCAGCCAACTGCACCGGATAGACAGAAACACGAATCGGCGATGGATGATACCTATGGGGGTCCTTGATCTGATGAGGGAGTCACGCATGAAGGACTTCCCACCGCTTTTCTTTGAGAGAGTGGTATGGCATTTCGCCGTGGGAAGGGATAAGATCTGGACGACGACTGTCGAGTGGTTGTTTAAGTGAGTCGCGTTAGTAGTACGGGAGGAGAATGACGAATGAGTCAGAGCCTGTGTGTAGTGCTGTTGTAGGGATTAATTGATCGGTGTAGGAGCTGATGTATCACTATAGGACGTAGGTACCAGGACTTTTGCGTTTTTGTTGACGAAATAATTGGACTGTTTTCATAGTGTATTACTATATTTGTTTACGGTTTGTACTACGATGTACGTAGGTGGGCAGTGTGGAACCGAAAAAATCCCGGGATAGGAGAAGAGGAGGGTTCAAACAGGGGCTTTTCCCTTCGGGTTTGTTTCCCCCCCCCGGATCTGAGAAGGCGATAAGTCGGAATGGGTGGTATGTTCGGACAGGGCTTTTTCCGTAGGTTCTGGAGCATAGCGGTCAGCTGACACTGTCTCATTGTGGTCTAGGGGTCTGTTCCCCCTGTCTGCTTCGCGATTTGTCGTTGGTTGATTTTTTGGGTTCGAATCTGATCGGTTTTCGTTGTGTTGTGCATTTTTCCTGGTTTCGTTTTGATATGGGTTACCTGACTGTACCACCTATAGGCTTGGGCGGGACCGGCCTCTTTACGATGAATCGGCTGTGGACCTTTGCCTATCAATTTTTGGTTTTCAGTAGGCCTGTACGAGGGCAGTTTTTTGCTTGTTTGTGTATCTGGACTGATGGATGAGTAGGTACTTGTGGAAAGCTTCGAGGTAATACTTGCGAGCACTAGTACTATCATAGGAAGGTCTATAAATAGGAACATTGCGACGCCTAAACTCTTTCCGGGTCCTACGCCGATGTGCCTGAGGTTATCCTCCGGAGATGCCGCTGGGCTTGCGGCAGAGGTGGGTTAGTGGTAAGAGGGACTGCGTACGGGAGTTGGCGATAGGTGGTTCTTCCCCCTGATGAGACCACGTGGCGGTGGTTGAAACTGGTCGGGGTGCCATACCCGCTGGACTTTGAGTTTGTGCTGCGCAATCATGCTTTTCGGATTCTTTGACGATTGGTTGAAGTATCTTGAACCTTGTACGTGTGTGTTATGCTCACCACGTACGTGTGATGTATGTCATCTTCGATGTATGTACGGCATCATCAAATCAGTAATCACCTGATTGATTGATTGTGTGAGAGTGTGTGTGTGTGTGTGTGTGTGTGTGTGTGTGTGTGTGTGTGTGTGTGTGTGTGTGTGTGTGT